GGCTCCGCCGTTCTTCTTCCCGCATGGTTTTCCGCCTCCCCCTCCACTCCGCGCCACAAGCACACCTCGGTCCTGAGACGCGAAGGCAGCGCCGGCCGCTGCCTGCCTGGGCGCGCGGCCGGGCTCCCCGCGAGTGCGCGGGCGCGGAGCCTGGGGTGCTTTGGTGTCGTCGCTGTGAACTCCGCGGGGCCTGCTCAGCCAGCCAAGGACATTCGCGTTTGGGAGTTTTTTACTTTTCTTTTTCTCGTTTGAGCTCCAGTTGTTCTCTTTTGAGTTTCTTGTTCTGTGTGTAATGTGTAACTATAGCATGTTCTAAAATAATTGCATGAGCTTTTTATCTGTTTTGAATTTTGTCTGCTTAGTCTGATCTCTCATGCTAGTCTGTTGAGATTATTTTAAATGTCAGTTTTTGAGTCTTCTATTACTGTTTTTAAGTAGCACAATAATTACATATTTATGGGTACAGTGTGCTTTTACAGTACATGTATACACTGTGTAATGATCAAATCAGAGTAATTAACATATCTGTCATCTCAAGCATTTATCATTTCTTTGTGTTGAGAACATTAAAAAAAATTTTTTGGCTCTTTTATCTGAGATCTTGGGTGTCTCTACAGCCTTGGGTCTGAAATCTAGCAAGCATATATTTTCTTTCTTCAAGTCACAAAATTGTAGAATTTTCTATCCAAAAGGGACCTAAAGTATCACAAAATTCAACTTCTTTGTTTTAGGGTAAGAAAACTTAGGGCCAGGCAGGATAAATAACTTTCCCATAGCTATACAACTCATTAACAGAAGATTGTGACTTAATAGATGAATTGGTGAGCAAGTCTGTGAGCTGAATCTGAGAAACGTATAATCACCAGGAACACTTGATGGGTGCTAGAATGTCCAGCAGTACACTTGGAGTACAGTTGCTCAACTAGAACTGAATGTGCATTCCCCTGCGTTAGATCCATAGCTACTGACTTACCTTAACAAAAATGTAACAGACCTTAAACGCTGTCAGACCAGAAATAGTTACCTTGGAATGACTTGTTTTTAATGAACTGTACTGGTTCTTGTAACATATGACATTCATTTCCAAGTAATTAGTGAAAATATTTATATAAGCCAGTTTGTTTTCTAATTTGTCATTTCTATAATCCTTTTGAAAAATCAGAACATTTTCCCACTTGTATTCTTCTGATATTTCTATTTTTATTCAGTGAGTGAGTTCAAATAATATATTTAATCACAAACAAATCCAACCATCTGAAATTTTTTAATGTACCTAAATAACAGTTGAGTCAACAGACTATTTAGGAAATGGGCAAAAACTTTCATGCCAGTGCTATAATCAGATGCAGTTGTGTAGCTTTAAATGCTTTTATTGGAAAACAAAGAGAATTTTTAAAATGAATAAATGAATGAATGAGCCAAGTATTCAACATTGGAGAAAGCAAGGAAAGAAACAAGAAAAACTATAAATTAGAATACGGAGAAAAATAAAATAAATTGAAAACAGATTCTTTGACAAAAAGACAAGCATGTAACAAAATTTTTTGCAAAATGTGAAATGAACAAATATTAGATATTGAATATCAGCTCTAAAATATACAGGTAGGAGTGAGGTCAACTAGGATTTCATAAAGATTTGGATGCCAGGAGAGAAAAGACTGTAAAGAGTTCTTATGGAAGTGACAATGTGATGATGGTTTTAGAAACTTCAGAAAGGTTTTAGGACTTGAGTGGAAACAGCTCACAACTGGCGGCTCCGAGGGTACTGCTGACCCTAGGCGCTCTCTCAAGCCAACTGTGGGTCAGGAAGCCAGGCTCAAGCAATTACGTGGGTAGTAGGTGTTCTGGAAAGAGGTAGCTAAAGGCACCTATTTTTAGAGTTTCAGGAACTGAACAAAAGAAGCCCAGCAGAGAAGTCAGGTCAGAATCGAGTTCAGGGGCAGGTCTTTTTAAGAGATGTTCAGAAAATGGCCGTGTTGATACTGATTTAAGCTGCTAAATTATGTTACTGGCAACACGTTAAAACAATCTCCCCGAGGTGGTGCCATTTTTAATAACAGCAAATAGGCAGTAGCAGTGGAAGGCCTCAATTACATGGAATCAGTTACTCACCAGGTTTGATATTCAATGTCTTGTTAACTCCCCATTCCTCTTGCTGTTTATTTCAGCACTATTGACACATTGCACTCTATCTTTATTCCCACTGTCCATCAGGTCTCTGACAACTACATTCATTTTCATTAATTTAACGCACATGATGTCCTTAATGACATCACTGCCATTAATATTGTTGGAAGTTGTTTAGTGTTTCACAGGAAGAGCATTGGTAGTCATATTTCAGATCTTAGATACCTTTGACATAAACACTGTCATGCCTGAAAAAACAGACCACAGACATTGTTTTCCCCATAAGTATATGATTTATAGTTGCTTATATCCCAAAAATACGGAGTCACCTTCAATAGCTGTTTTGAACAGGAAATATTCTTCTGGAGCTCTGGGTGGTGATGGAGAAAGTGGTAGAAAGAGAAAAGAGGAAAACAGTGCTCATCCCCTTTTAAGAGCTATTCAGATGAAAAATTGTATGGCATAAGCTTGATCTATATGTTTTCCATGGTTATTAGTGGTAATGAAGATGCATTAACCATATTCTCTTGATAATGCTCAACAATTCCTTAGTACTTTTATCAACATATAAATTTTACAACTGGCAATATGGGAATTTGACTGGTACATTTTTGTGTATAAAAAAGGGTAACAGCATTATAACTTCTTCATATCTGTGAATTATGAATCTTGACTTGCAAACAAGCAAAACTCAAATGCAGCAGCACTTCAGTCTCATGGCGGGTTCACTCCTGCAGTCGCTCACGGGAGATGGGTGCGAGCCGGCCGCTGAGGGGGGAGTGCCCGAGGTGAATGCCTGCACAGCCGGAATCGATGAGTCCGTTCCATTCCGGTCATTCTTTTTTCTCAGCCAACATGTGTGGAGTGCCTTCTCTGTAGCTAGCCTGTAGTGTCCGTGAATTGAGGATGCTCCGCTTTATTAGGAAGCAGCCGGGATGTGAAAGTGAGTGGTATGTGATCACAGTGCATCCTTATCTCCATTAGGAGGCATCCTTTTTAACATTTTCAGAAAGGACAGAAAGTAACTCGGTTCTTCAAAGCTGAAACTTGATGCCAAAGGGAAGATTGGAATTTTTTCTCACACTTCATTGAGTTATAAATGAATAGATCTTTCTCTTATAAAACTGGATTCCATGTTTTAAATTGGGTTTGTCCTACCTCCAGTGCTGCACACATAAACCATAGCTAGTGCCCCTAGAGAAGACCTTGTGGAAGGAAGAAGCATGGCGTCCCTCTTTTTGTTACTGACCTGTGGATCGGCACTGTCTGGCACACCACCGAGAGATGCCAAGGACATCGCTGTCACATAGAAAGCAGTTCCTGTGACTGCTGCCTGGTGGATCTGGGAGAAGGAAATGATAGTAAACTCCAAATTAATTAAGATCAAATAAGTGAATCTCTCAGAGTTGATTTTCAGTTTTCCACTTTTATGGAAAAGAAGCAACATGTAAATTATTTCATTTCCTTTAGTGACTTGGGCAATAATAACGCAAACTTCGGTATTGTCCTGGAGTTGTGCTAGCTCCTGGGACTAAAATACTGTGTGGTCGATCATACCTGGACTTAGCGATGGTAGCCCTGCGACACTGCAAGGTCTGAATCCTCTGGGAAGCAGCTGTTCCTTGAGCCAGTGTTTACTGGGCGCCGTCTAACTGCCAGGCGCAGCTGCTGGCAAGTGTGCAAAACAGGAAAGAAAGTGTGGAGTGAGAAGTGCGGTTGAGGGAGTGGACAACTGCCGAGAGGTAGCCTCAAATAAGGGGAAACCTTGGATTTGCAGGGCGGAAGTCATGGTGGCCTTGAACAATGGTTCTTCAGTGGCAAGGAAGCCACGGCCAGAGCTCAGTGGACCAGACTGGCAAGGCGGAAGCAGCAGCTAAGACACCTTGAAAAAACATGTCACGAGCAGGGAGAGAAATGGGATGGGAACTCGAAAGCAACGCATGTTCACACACACACTCACTCCCACAGCCGTGTGTCATGGGAGTGACGCGCCAGAGAGGAAGATGGGGGGCAGCAGCCTTGAAGTCAGAGGAGTCAGGGCATAGCTGGGAGGCTGGCGTGGCTCGGGGCAGGGACTCTTCTTCCATGTGACACGTGGAGAGACAGCAGGGTGGCGCAGCTGCCACGGAACCGGCGCTGTGGAGCACTGACAGCGTTACGGGAGCAGTTAGCAAGAGACCAGAGCCCTGGCGCTCGTGACGCCTAGACCTGAGTGGAGACTGGAGGAGGTGGGCAGACGGCAACCAAGTAATCAGGGAAACTCGTGGGGTCTCAGACAATGGAAAGGGCTGCTGAGAAGGTAAACGGGGTGGTGGGAACAAGGAGGTGGGTTCCGGGAGTGTAGGCCGCAGCCCTCGTGACATGCTCCGTGACTCTCAGCCAGGTTTCCTGACTCTTGGTACACTCGGCCGAGTCCCCACGGGCCAGGGCTTGTGGGAAATCTCCTGTGAGCACCCAGCACTCACCCGCCCGCATCTCCTTCAGAGTCCGCATCTTAGGCTTTAAGCATACGTTGATTCATGTGATTATCATTAATATATTTGTTCCCTACTAGACTAGACGCTCCGGGAGGGGAACTGTGTCTGTTTGGGGCGATCATATCCTCAGAAACTCACACAGAGTTGGCACGTAACAGGCCCTGTTTGTTGAATGAATGCACGAGAGCAGTAGGATATTTCCCACAAGCCACATTTTGAAGAATCGTGTGTCTCATTATTCTGTGGACACTTGCAGTTGTCACTTCTCACTTTACAGAGCTGATCTAGTAAATGGCTTTTTCCGAAGCAGACAGGTATGCTCTTACACCAGTGGAGTATGTGAAATAGAGTTGTCCTCTAACTTAAATAATGTCTCTCCCCTTCATTTTTTGGCAGGACCAATGCCAAAGGTGCTCCCCTGAACATCAATAAGGTCTCTAGCAGCCTGATTAATTTCGGAAGAAAGTTGATTTCCCCAGCAACGGCCCCCGGCAGTGCGGGTGGCCCTGCCCCCTCTGGCAGCGGCGGAAGCGCCCTCTCTGTGGGGATCCCCCCCCGGGCCTCAGCAGAGCCCCCACGGCATCCCTTGCAGCAGCAGCAGCACCAGCAGAGGCTGATGAAGTCAGAGAGCATGCCCGTGCAGCTGAACAAAGGTAGGAAAGCCCAAGAAAACATCCGGGCACCTGCCTGGAGGAGCCCACCTCCCAGAAACAGGAATGCATGCAAAAGCCAGAGCGTGTGACTTGAGTCTGTTCTGTTGGGTCCTTTTAAAGTTGAAATATCAGATCCTGCCTCCTTCTTCTCCAAGAACGTTCTATGAGGTTGTGTGTTGAGGTTTTTTATAGTTGTGGCCTCGTATCCTGGGATTCAGTCTGTGGATGTCCGTGTGGTGGGGTGGCGCGAATCCCCACGGCACTGAGACTCTGCTAGCCAGGTCGGGCCGTGCTTCTGACCAGTAGAGCCTCTGGGGCAGCAGCTCCAGGACCGTGAGCATCCTGTCTTGGCAGTGACCAGGGCTGCAGGGTGTAAGGGGGACGGTGCCTCTAGGCTTGCAGCCTGTCATCTGGCTGCTTCCCTCCTGAGGGCCACAAGGCAGGGTCTTACCGGGGAAAGGCTGAACTAGCTCGGGCAGCAGCACACGTGTCAGAACGGCAGGAGGTCGGAGAGGAGCGACGGCGGTCACCGTGTCTCGCTGGACGGGCGCAGCACTGCCAGCCTGCTCTCGGTGCGTGCTTGCCGCTGGACTCGGGCCGCAGCGCCGGCCTCCACGCGTGCGTTCTTCACGAGATGGCCCCCAGCTTTGTGCTCAGAACCTTCAGCCTCCCATTTTCCACCTGTTTTTAAAAAGTCCTGGTTAGGGCCCCCCGTTCATAACAGGTGGAAACAGCTGCGTGTGTTTCTAGGAGCAGGACTGTACTGACGTGCTGTAGATGCAAGGGTGGTCACAGGATGGCGGAGGAGATGCTGGAGGCGGCCATAAGGCCTCACGGAGCTCAGCAGCTGAACGTTGGGTGTGAAAGTGCACACCCTGACCCAAGCCTCGCTTGTGTCACAAAGGGCACAAAGGGATCCCTCAACTCTGTCAGCGTTCAGGATCTAGCATTAACAGCAGCCGTGGCGTTGTCAGGAGAAGCCCTGAAGCTGTGTTCCATGTACTCTGCTTCAGAAGATTTCATCCAAAATTATTAAAAATTTTATATATTGGCATTTTAATTGACGAAGTTAAGTTAAATGGACTTTCTTGCCCAATGATGTAAAGTACTCAGTAATATTGAGTATTATTCAATAATAAGTCTGTGCTCTGTGTGTGTGTGTGTGTGTGTGTGTGTGTGTGTGTGTGTGTGTGTGCGTGTTCCTCTATTGTGTGTGTCTTCATTTCTCTGTTGGTTACATTGTGTTGCCTTTCTTTTTCATATTTCTTTGCCTATGTGAAATACTAGATTTTATATAACTAGTCTTTAAAATTTTATTAGAAGATTCAATTTATCTTATATGAGAATATCTCATTGAAAATTACATTCTTTTCGATGTAGAGCTGTCACACATGGTTTTTTTTTCAAGGCGACTTCAAGTCATTAACATGTTGTAAATGTATTTTAATGCCAGGAGACATGCCCGCTTCCAGAAGGGAAATGAATGTTATTTTATATATTTCTTAATTGTACTGTTTTATTGTTCTAAACAAATATGATTTCAATATTGCTTTGATAAGCTATAGTCAGTTGTAATTCTAACTGATGACAGGCAAATGAGTCAGAGAATCTCTTAATGTTGCAGCTTAAATTTTCTGAGGAACCAAGCCAAATGACTAAAGAAATATAAAGTTGTGTCTCTTAGGAAATGTCAAGTATTAATATCACAGTGAGTGAGAAAGGAAGTGCACGGAGATGGAACAAGTGATGAAAACCCGGTCCCCAGCTGGAGGGAGACAACAGAGCACTTAAGAGGAGTATTTGGAACAGGAACAGCACCAGGGCGTTTCTAGCGGGCCCCTGTGCTGGAAGGAAGTAGCCTTGCTTGGCAACCCTTCTGTATTGTTATTTCTGGTTTGTTCTCATGTCAGTCTACCAAAAAGAAGCTTGTCTGCCTTCATACTAATGATACGTGCTTCCTGCATAAAGATTTGAACAAAATAAAGGGCAGAGAAAACATTGTGGAAGGAGAAGGTGGTGTGATCTGACACCCTTGCTCTACTCCCTGCCGGAAGCCTGCGCATCACCCTGGAGCCCGTTTCGTCCCTGAGACACGGGGGTTGGGCCATCCCTCAGGAGGCTCCTAGCTCCTAAGTCTGTGGTTCTTTGGGTAACAGACACATTTATTAACTCTACACCGAGAAGTGTTTCTCCAGCACTGATTGTTCATGCGGGGATTCCCCACAAGTGTCCCGCTGTGCTGTCACGTGGACAGATCCGCAAGCGTGTCACCTGGTCCCACAGAGCGTGAACACGGTGTGTGGGCTGTCAGGAGGCTTGTGCTGGGAAGTGACTTCTTGCTTTCTCGAACAGAGTTGTCTACCTAGTGCCTTTCTCTTGTGCTCTGCTGGAAAATGTGGACTTTGTTTTGAGAAGGGGTTCCTGGTGAAGATGAAGCTGTTTGCAGTTCTCATCGACTCGTTAGCTCTCAGTGGTTTGCGCGAATGTACGTGCGGGGACGGTTGTGCGTGGAGCCCGGTTCAGGCCGGTCTTGCCAGAAACAGCCGTGCTGTGGTGGTGTGTGTGGCCGGGCAGGGCCGCGGAGGGAGCAGCAGCAGCACAGGTGTGCCCCGGTGTCCTGGTGGTACTGGGAGTTAGGGCGCATTTCCTGTCTCTGAAGTGCGTTAAAAGGTGGCCTAGGAGCGGCCCGGTCAGGTGAGCCGCAGGCAGGCACGGAGTTGAAAGTCTCCAGAGACACGGAGAGGAGACAAGCCATTTACCGGCGAGTTCAGAGTGAGCTGCAGCACGAAAATCTGGGGCTTGTTTCCCCTGAAGCTTTTCATCACTTTTAGGGGCGTGCTCCTATTTATAGGTCGCATCTCAGTTGCAGGAGCCTGGTCATTGTTGGGGGGGATATCGTGCAACCCAACAGTTTCCGGATGAGCTGGCCATGCTGGAAGTCATAGTTGTAGCATGTGGTCAGGGCACAGAGGGGATGTTATGTAATTCAAAACCTGATTTTTTTAAAACTGCTTTGGGTTAAAAAAAACACACACCCCAAGCTGTATATATAAACTTACATGTACGTACAAGCTAAAGGGGAAGCAAGTCTTGTTAATCATAAATTATCACATGTAGAATAGACAGGGCTTTTGAAAAGTGCTTTTTCTGTGAAATCTTTTGAATCTCAGCGCAGCACAAGCCTTGAGTTGGCGACACCTCCAGAGCATCACCGTGCTGGCAGTGACCACGCTCAGTGTGGCACTTTGTCCTCCAGGACCGAGACCCCACCCAGCGTCAGCACACCTCCCATTTGCAAGAGTTCCCGTTCTGCCCTTTTCCTTTCTTTCCTATGTTCTTAAGACGCACTTGCGGTTTTTCCTTTCTGTTTCCTTTGTCTGTGTCTTTGATTGCTTTTTGAATTTGAGCACATCTTTAAGTACTTACTGTAGGTCCAATTTGTAAATGAAATCGTGCCTATAATAAGTATGTCAAGTTAAGGATATGCAGTTCCCAGATTTATTTTTACATGTTGACATTTATAAGTACATGTGGTAACTTAAGAAATCTTTTCATTACTTAAAATATGAAATTAGAACCTATTTAGGTCTTTATCTTATCACTGAAGAAGTCGGTTTCAAGTTTAGTTAAAAATAAATTTTGTCTGCTATAGGAGGAAATCAATTTCAGAAGAATGCCTATTTTTAAATAAATGACATATAACTTCTTTTGGATGAGAAAGGAAAAGAAACTATAAAATCACACTAATATTTGTAGCATCACAAAATCTGCTCAGCAAAATCTTTTGGTTGCTAAAGTGTTCTAGCCTAGTAGAAGCTTGTTTATGTTTTCCTTAAGAAAAACAAACACAGAACCTTCTCAGGAAGCACTTTTTAAAAAATTATTTTCTTTAAAAATATTTTATATTAATTGCTCTAAGCTTGTGCTGTGTTTTCTGTTGTATATATTTTTAGTAATTTGACAAGTGTATTACAACACTGAGTATGAAAGAAAAGTTGACTATTTCCTTTTTATGAAATCTAATTATTTTTTCTTATGAAATCCAGGCGATGTAGTTACAGGAAGCGATGCTCAGGTTTCTGTTCCTGCCCAGTCTCTGACTGACCCCCAAGGTACAGTTGCCGTAGCGGCATAGTCTCTCTCTCTCTCTCTCTCTCTCTCTCTCTCTCTCTCTCTCTCTCTCTCTCCCCCCCCATCTCCTCTCTCCCACTGTCTCTGTCTCTGTCTCTGTCTCTCCTACAGTGTTACCATTGTCCACTCCAGACTCAGTGTTTCTGCCACCCTCCATTCATACTGTTTTTCAGTTCACTACCATTGTTCGGCCACTGAGTGGCACTGTTGCTTAGAATAAAAGTCCCCCTCATGTCGTACCTTGGTGATATGGTCTCTGGCTGTGAGTGGGTTTTCTGTTAAATGTGCACAAGCCTATTTCCTTGCAGAATATGCTTCATTCATATGTTCTATATCTTGTGACTATCTTAACATACCTTGTGTGGCCATTCTGTGACAGTATTTGACAAATTAGTTCTGAAGTTAGACAATTCATACGCTGTGACGATCCCGAAGTCATTATTTTTTACATAAAAGATTTAGAGACAACCTGATTTTGAGGTGTTTTTAACTATATCCTTTGTATCATGAGTTATATTGACAGAGTATGGTGTAGCAAATCTCCATATAGGATAACTGGCAGTAGTTTAAGTAAAAAGAAAATATTTAAATATCATATCCACTTGTCCAAAATATAGAAAAAACATAGTGTACTTAAGAAGTACAAAGTGGTCATCCCCACTTAACACTCCTATGCAGTTTAAAAACATGTAAATGTCTAAAGTCGCTGCATTAATCTTCTATGATATAATCATTCAGATGACATGTGATAGCATTTCTGTGTTACACGGAAGGCTTGACTGACTTTAAGAATCTTCAGATTCAAACTAAAATGATAGTAGTGTTAATTGAAATTCATATCATGATTTTCTTCATTTAAAAATCCACATAATATAGTCATGCTAGTTTTTTAAATACTGTTTTAATAATGATGCGTCATTATAATATCCATGCTTTCTAATGGATGAACAGAAAACGATGGATTGTGATTCAGAGATTGATGTATTGACTTCACTAAAACAAAACAAAAAGGCACACTATGGCGATAGAGCCATGTGCTGTGGTTCTGTGTATGCTTCTGTGTTTTCCAGTATAGTAATTAGCTAGATGAACTTTACAGGCTTTTCTAGTTCAGGGATTCCATGAAGAGCTGTTTACTCTTGGTGTCTGTTAAGTGACCTACGTAATAGAGGGGTGAAGTAGCATTGACAATAGAAAAGACAGGTGATATCACATGATTCTCTTTAGCTTTGCACTTAGATGAGTATTAATGCAGTCATCTGATGTGTTGAGAAGTCGCAGGACTTAAATTTGTTCCCTAAGATTAAATTCTGAGACCACAGACGTTCAGCAAGTGTTTTGTTATCCCGAAGTTAGTCGCTGCAGAGTAGACCTTTGGCTTCCTGGCAAGACCTGGGCTTCGGAGCCCAAGTGACACCTGGGGAAAGAGGACGCCTGGGGTAGCTTGCTGTTTCTGACTTCTGCTTTGAGGCCGTTGCTCTAACCGTTTGGCCTACAGACCAGAGCCATACGAGCAATGCCGCTTTCTTAATAGAACTGTGAAGGGGAAGGTTATATCATTTTGTTCAGGTAACATGTGCTACATAAGCAGAACCATCTCATTCATTTATTCAACAGGTATTTATTGAGTGCCTCCTGTGTGCCAGCTGCTTTCATTGGTCCCTTGGCTTTCCCCACCTTTGCCTGGCTGCTTGGGCCTTACCTTTGCTTAAGATGACCCAGGTGAGCCTGCAGAGCCAGGAAGTGCTTTTGTCTGGACACCCCGTTCAGAATGCCCTCTGCCTCTCACACAGCAGAGACTGTCAGCCTGATGAGGGAAGTTCCAGTCACATCAAGAGACCTAAGTCACCAGTAAACAGCTTTCAGTGTACCGCAATGATTTTGACAACTGCAAGACAGTGAGACAGCACCAGCCCTGATTTGGAGAAGTCACCTGGCGTTTCCCTCAACATACCTTCTCAAGAATGCCAAGAAGCAAGGGGAAGTAACGGTGAACCAAAAGAGTTAGTGGTGTCAACAAAAATTGTTTATCTAATACTATTAGAAGTTTCAGGACTTCATCAGAGGACCCAAACCCATTAGAGTCCCAAGAGTAGGCACATTTTTAGTTTCAGGAAGATGAACTGTTATTTAGACTTTTACAAGTGTCTTTTTCAAAGCTGTGAAGGCATCAGTACTTTCAATGATTCTCTGATTACATGTAGTCTAAGAAAAAGCTGAATATAAAGTGAGATTTCATGTTTTAGGTCATAAGTTATTTTTAGAAAATTCCCGGAAAGCTCCATCTTCTAGCCTGAGTGTCAGTTGCAGTCACTGAATAGACGCCACTGCAGGTTTTGCTTTTCAGAGGCTCAACTCACCGAGTTTCTTCAAGGAGTTATTTTGGAAAGTGCATTCATACCCCAGAAACCTTTTTCAAGAGCTGTTTAGGAATTTATTCACAAATCAGAAAACTGGGAAACATACATACTGTTTTCAGAGAGAATTTGGAATTTGCAGCAGCAGAAGTACAACTAGCCGCCCCCTGGCTGCATCCACAGGTTCCACATCTGTGGACTCGATCAACTGGAGATCGAAACTGTTTTAAAAAATGAGTCTGTACTGCACATGGGCAGACTTTTATTTTGTCATTCTTTAAACAGTTCTGCGTAACAGCTGTTTACGTAGCACTTACATCTTGTATCAGGTATTATAAGTAATCTGGAGATGACTTGAGGTTTGTGGGAGATACGCAGAGGTTGTGTTCAAACACACTATTTTGTATAAGGGATTGCAGCATAAAAATTAGATTTTGGTGTCTACAGGGGTCCTGGAACTAATCCCCCCAGTTAGGGAAGGAAGGACGACTGGATTTCTGTGTTAACAGGTGATGGACCATTAGGAAAGAAATTTGGGTTCCTTAGTTAGTTGGACATAGGCATCCTTAAAATTTATTTTTGTGTGCATGCTATGGATATGAACATACACATAGATATCATTATAACACCAGATTGCTTTTTAAACATCAAAAGGGAAAAAAGGTCAGAAACTCTCTGCCCCGTAACCACTGCTGCTCTTCTTAAGGTAAAACTGGCGCACAGACAGCATCAGATGATTCGAATTAAATGAAGGTGTTAAATGAAAGACGGGCAGTCCTCCGCTTTCTTTTTCCCCTCCTTCTACCTGTCCAAGTCCCAAGGGTAATTGTTTCTAAGTGTCTTGGGAGTCCTTCCAGGGGAAAAATACTGTTTAAGTTGAGGAGTAATGTGTGAGTGACATTCATGTGACAAGAACGCGTCTGTTTGGCGGAGGGGGTCCTCCGCCAAACACACGAGTGAGGAAGTGTCCCTATGCAGGCGGCCAGCAGCAGACTGCCCAGACAAGGAGAGGGGTGGCCTGTCAGCCAGAGTGGGCTGAGCAGTGACCAGACAAGAGGCAGCTTCTCGTGAGAGGAGGGAAGAGACCGAAAGACCAGCCACTCGTCCTGTGGCTGGCACTGTCTTGGCCACCCTGGCGACTGTGCAGAAGCACCGTCACTGCTCTGTGCCGTGAGCTGGGGGGGACGTTCTGGAGGCACACCGACCCCAGACAAGGCCAAGCAAGCAAGTTGTTTTTGAACTGAGAGAAAAAGATCAGAACTTGCCCTCTCCTTCCAAAGGACCCCATTTGCTTTCCTTTCATCCGACTTGAGGCCACGTTTTCTGCACTCGGTGGGGACAGCCCTTGCCAGGGGACAGGCTCAGAGTCAGGATGACATGGGAAGTGACTTCACCTCTTGTGTGCAGAGAGAGAATGATGACCTAGGGATGTGAAGGGCCTCGCAGGGCATCGCCGCGCCCTGCTCGGGTGAGGGTGCAGGGCCGCCGCTGCCGGGGTGGCGTCGATGGCAGCACGGTGGTGTTTTCCTCCATACCGCTCCAACTTTCAGAGCCAGCTCATGAAGGAGCCACCCCACACCTCTACCCGTTCTTAGTTTTTCTCCTGATAGTCTGAAAACACGTGTTGGCATGCACAGACCCAACCCAGCAGTGCTCGACTCCGGTCAGACTAGAGCCTGTCTGTCCAGGGGTTTTGGGGACAGCCTGCGTCCTCCCATTCTCATGGCACCAGGTGCGTCTTTGGCACCTAGACATCGGCCGGCTGTCCTCTGCACGCCAGTCGGCAAGGTCACAGACGGTCACTAGGCCGGGCAGAATGCCCCTTGCCTTCTCCTGGTCACGTGTCAGGTCGAGGTGGCCCCTCCTGGGGACAGCTCGGGGTCTTCGGGGCTCTTCCTTTCCGCTCTTCCGGGTCCACCACGGCGAGGTCTCGGCGCCTCTGAGCCTGGCGCCCTGGGCGTCCCCTGTCCGACTCCTCCCCCTCGTCTCTGTCTCCCGGGGCTCAGGCTGCCTCTTCAGGAACACACGCAGCCCCTGCTCTCATTTCCCCCCGAGCCTGAAAAGGGAAAACCCAGGAAAATGCCCCTCGTGGGCGTGGGAGGAGCCTGGTAAGCACGACTTTCCCTTCTTTCCTTCTCGCCCAGCCTTTGGCGCTCAGGGTTCCTGCCTGATGGCTGCAGAGTCCAGGGAGTGAGGGCTCTCGACAGGTAGCCTCCACTGGCATGGAGCACAGGGGACACAGGCCTTCGGCGAGTGTTTCACAGAGGGAAAGAGAATGAAGAGTGTAGCATACACGGTCCAACAGTCAGGCTCACGAAACATCCTAGAAAAGGGGCTCCATGCCTCATTGCTGAATCTCACTCCAGAAGCCTTCGAAGGACTCCCCTTGGGAAGCCGTGCACTGGCATCGATCAAAGCAGTTTTGGAGCTCTTGTTCTGGAAGGGCCGTCAGAGCTGTCATTGTTGTTTGTTGAGTTCTGACAGTTAAGTTCGTGAACTTGCCACCTTGTGCCTGCATTGGCAGCACAGTACAAATAACTGTATTGGAACACCCTCCCTACTCCCCTGATCTGGCCCCCAGTGACATTTTCTTTACCTGAAGATAAAGGAAGTATTGAAAGGAA